TAACACACTGCCCAATCACATGTTGAAAACCTCCAGCAGTGGCGACTCTATCACATCTCCAGGGAAGTTGTTCCAGTGAATGAACTGTAAGACATTTCTTTGACATGTCCATGAGCCCAGAGCCTTTGGTGAGCCTCAAGTTTCCTGCAGGTCAAAGCATCTGGGTGCAGATCCCTGTTCATGGATGCTCAGAGTGACACTGCATCAGTTCAGAAGAGGGAAAAGAGAAAAAAAAAAGAGCCAGATGTTTCATGAAGTTGGAGAATTCAGGAATTTTCATCTGTCCCGCAATACTTGACCTTCATCTCTTAGACTTGAGGAGGGGATGAGAAGTCCTTGGGGCTGATACGATCCCGTATCTAGAGTCATCCCTACGACATCATCCTGACTGCTCTGAGATAGGACAAGGGGGTTTTATGTGGATTTATTTTCATCTGAGTAACCATGAGTCTCCCTTTCCTGCCATCTTCATCTCTAGCCACCATGTGTCACCTCCCAGGTTTGCGCAGAGCCCTCTGTGACGCTGGTGCGAGCGTGCAAACGCTGGTGCTCTCTTTGCTCTCGTTCCAGAGGTGCCGGCAGAACCTGCAGACTGCGCTTGGAGTTGATTTGGGTTCACATGACATTATTTCTGGCTCAGCTGCAAGAAGTTTATCCACGTTTAGCACTGTCGTCTCGTGTCAGACACAACGTACCATCCCCCTTTGCTTTGCCTCTGCAGGGAGAAGCTTCCAAAGTCGTTGCCGTGTCCCCTTTGCCACCGGCGTGTGATGAAGTTGCCACCAGCCTCGCCCTGTATTTGGTGCGAGGGCCATAAGCATGCGCCTCTGCTTTGAGAAAAACAACTAGTTTTGAAGAGTTTGAGCTGGTGATGTTACAAGGGGAGTGAGAAGGAAGCGTTTTTTGAGGTGGAACTGAGGGAGATGGGGAGAAAATGCTTCTCAACCCCTGTCAAGAGGAGCCTGGGGCAGATTTGGGAACTGGTTCCCGCTTTTATTTCTTTCTTTCCAAGGTTTCCCTCTCTCGAATCACCGTGTAAAAGCTCATAGAAGTGTATAAAACTAGTTAGTTTTGTTTCAGGACCTGTCTTTTGGAGGCACACTCAAACCGTTCTCCATTCCTTCATTTTTATAAATAGATACGTGACCCTCTCCCCGCTCTTGCAGCAGAGATGCTTCCCATGCCACGGGAAGCCACGGACTCACAGCCCGGCTCTGCACACCCGGCGCGTCGGCAGCCCCCCAGCCTCCTTCCACTTTCGTATCATCACGGTAAAAACTCCTCTTCCTCCCCCCCAACCTCTTCTTTTCCTTTCCCCCCAGTGTATGTGCTGTCAAGTTTGATTTATAGCCTTGAAAAGGAGACTCTAGTTGGAAGAATTAATGGTATTTGCATATTTTATTTGGAATCTCCCCCGGCAGACCCGCCGCAGCCCAGCGCCGGTGGCGCAGACGGCTTTTTCCTTTCCTTTCTGGTTTGGGGTTTTTTTTTTTGGTCATTCAGATTTAGCAGCAGAGGTGAAAAGTTGAAACAGTAAAACCAATAAAACCGCATTTATGTGACAGATAAATTGTTGTGAGACAGCTCGTCTCAAGCCGTCGGGCTTCCTCCTGCAGGACCTCTCTCCGATGGAGCGCGACCCACGGCAGAGCCCTGTGAGCACTGGCAGTGCCCCGCGCCGCATGGCAGCCGGGGGGCAAAGGGGCCGGCACAGCCTCAGACTCGCCTCGCCGACAAGATGGATGTGAGCAAACAGTTGTAAAATACACAGGCGATCCGTCACTGTCATAAGCCAGCCGGGGGGTCTGGCTCTCCCAGCACTCGGGGAAGGTCCAGCCCGGGGTGGGAACGCGTTTAGGTTGGGTCTTATTTAGAGTCATAGGATCATTTAGGTTGGGAGAGACCCTTGAGATCATCCAGTCCAACCATTAACCTGGCACTTCCAAGTCCACCACTAAACCATGTCCCACAGCACTACATCTTTGCATCTTTCAAATCCTTCCAGGAATGATGACTCCACCACTTCCCTGGGCAGCCTGTTCTAATGCTTGACAACCCTTTTGGGGAAGTTTTTCCTCATATCCAATCTAAACCTCCCCTGGCACAACTTGAGGCCATTTCCTCTTATTCTATCCCTTGTTACTTGAGCGAAGAGACCGACCCCCGCTTTGCTACAACCTCCTTTCAGGTAGTTGTAGAGAGCGAGAAGGTCACCCCTCAGCCTCCTTTTCTCCAGGCTGAACACTCCTGGTTCCCTCAGCCACTCCCATAAGACTTGTGCTCCAGTGCTTCGCTGCACTTCTTTGGACAGGCTCCAGCACCTCCGTGTCTTTCTTGTAGAGAGGAGCCCAACACTGAACACAGTATTCGAGGTGTGGCCTCAGCAGTGCTGAGTACAGGGGGTTGATCCCTTCCCTGTTCCTGCTGGCCACACTATTTCTGATAAAAGCCAGGATGCTGTTGGCCTTCTTGGCCAGCTGGTCATACTGCTGGCTCCTGTTCAGCCAGCTGTTGACCAGCACCCCCATATTGTTGGGATTTTCTCTAAGATGTGCACTCTTGTAGCCTCTCTCTCCATCTTTCTTATAAGCCTCCTTTAAGTATTGAAAGGCCGCAATAAGATCACCCCGAAGCCTTCTCTTCTCTAGGCTGAACAACCCCAACTCTTTTGAACCAGTCTTCATGGCAGAGGTATTCCATCCCTTGAGCCGTTTTCATGATTTCCTCTGGACCTGCTCCAACAGGTCCGTGTTAAAACAGGTCCATAACATGACTTACTCCATCCATCCCTCCAGCCAACCAGCACAAGGGAAGGTGTGGTGGTGCGCATTCAACGCTGGCAAAGCCCGGCAGCCTGGCAGCCTCGTGTGGGAGAGCTGCATTGCTTCAACCTGGTTGAGTTAAACTGAGTTGCAGCAGAGCTGTGGGACAGGGATGGCTGTGGGGCCAAGGGCTGTTAGCCGTCCTAGCCACTCGTCACCTGGCCCTGGTGGGAATGGTGAGTGTTGGCTGGAGAGCAAGGCCTGAGCTGTCCTCAACGGCCATTCATCTGACTTTTGCTTAAAAATCTCTCCATGCTGGATTGACCATGCTCTTTCCGAGACATGCGTGGGAGGTTTCTCCAAGCCCTTCCCTACCCCATCCTCTGAGCTCCTGCACAGTTCCTCGAGCCTTTGCCATCTCTCCAAGCCTCCTAACACCTCCTGATGCTTTTTATTTCATCTTCTCCTAACTCGCTTCTAATCATCACTTCTAATAACTCATGCTGCTTCGTTCATGGTTTGCCAGAGACACGTTCAGCCTCCCAGGGTCGAGGAGGGGGGAGAAGGGGTCTTGCACCAGTGAGAGGACTTTGGCGCGTTGCGGGGGATCCGATTTAGCCTGTACAACCATGCAGCTCCCCCCGGCAGCCGGCGAACCCGACAGAAGAGTTTTGGCCTCACTGTGTTGTATGAAAAGAGCCTGTGAAATCATATTTAAGGTTGTCCCTTGAAGGTGCCCTTTGGAAAAAAACTCCTGCCGATGATGTTCAACTCGGGTTTGTAGTTAACACAATGGACCCGCCGTACAAAGCCGCGCGGGACCGCGGGCTGGAAAGGCCCTCTTAGGTCCCAGCTAATCCGTCCCCCCCGCCAGCCCAGGGGATTGTTCCTGACAGCTTGTTTTCTTTGCCCTGACCTACATAGTCAAAAAGAATCTTGTTGCACATTTTTGTTTTGTACCTTGAGGTCTCGGAGGAGCCAAATCCCCTTCTTGGCGGCGCGGGATGTGTTGTTAAACAGTGCTGGAGTCTCCAGGAAAACCATGGAGACGCGGGGACAATGAGCCCTCTATGGTCCTCGCTTGGCCGCGGGATGGTCCTTCTTCTCCGGGCTTCAGTGGTGGGCGCCGGGACGCGCCGACATGGGCAATGAAGACGTCCGTGTGCTTGGCAGCCTGTCCTGCAATAGAGTGGTCACAGCAGCTCTCAAAGGCAGAAGGTTGGGGGGGTAACTTAGCCGGTCTTAATTAAAGTGTTTTAGATGATGGAGATGAAGGCTACATCTCTTGTGACCTCAGCTGTGCTCTTGTGGGTGGGTGGAGAGGGAAGTCCTCTTAGGGGCGAAGAGGTCCTCGTGTGGGAAAGATGTTGGGGCTCCTGTTGGGGTTTTAAGGGAAATAAGGATGTGAAAGGTGGAGTGGAAGAGGACATGTAGGAAACCTGGGCTGTAGTTTGCTTGTCCCTCACTCAAATCAGCTGGGAGTTATGGGGCACCCAAGGGGTCCTGTGCAGAGGTGAATTTTGGGGGTCCGGAGCAGAGACCGTCACAGACGGCTGAACTAATCCACTTTTTCCTCCCTCCCCTGCCGGAGGCTGATGGTTTCTCTTACAAATGTCTGGAAACCACCTGGGTCTCCCAGTTTCTTCTGGTATCTGCGTTCACCTAAGAGAAACCCCTGAGCTCCTGGATGGGTCCCACACCTCCCCAGGGAGCTCTCGTCATTAGAGACACTTACAAAGTGCTGGGAAGGTGTGGGGATGGAGCAAGCATGATGAGAAAACCTTGCGACATGGTTCAAACTGTGCCGAGGGTTATTTGAGGGACAGAAGAAATTTGGGGTGACTTTGACCCCAGAAGTGCCTTCCTGCTGTAGCCGAGAGCACCAGGGCACTGGGGCTCTTTGCCATCGACCTTCTTGGGGTGTCTCAGTCCTCCTGTTCCCTGTACCACTGGTTGACCCCAAAAACAGAGGTAATGTAGCAGGAGAGAACTATGGCTAAATGAATATCGCCACACACAAATCAATATTAAATGTTAATAAATTAAGCACGGATAAGTTCATAATTGAATATTAGCAGAATAATAATAAATTAATTAATAAAGACTGTGAACCATTTTTTGTGGTTGGTGCCACCTGCCCAAGATCTTTGCCAGCTTGCAGATAAACCCCCTGATCTCTTGCCAGTTTTTTCAAATCTTCTATTTCTGTTTGTTTTTTCTTTCCGGCGGCTGCTGCAGCTCTTGGATCTGTTCATCCAGTGGGACTGGTCGACGTATTTGGCTGACTATGGGCAACCCACGTGCAAGTATCTTCGCGTGAACCCAACAACGGCCCTCGTCCTGCTGGAAAAGTGAGTGAGGGTCTGGGCACCTGGCAGAGTTTTCACCCCCATCTTACTTTGGCCAAGTGCGGGTTTCAGCAGCTCGTCCCATTGCGCAGTGCCTGGACGGGATCCAGTGAGCAATGATTGCACCCCTGGGTGGAGAGTGGGAGCTCGAATAGAAAAATCCTGTTTTATTTATATTCTGCTCTCGTGAGAACCCAGTGCAGTGCTGCATTCAGCTCTGGGGTTCCCAACATCAGAAGGACATGGAGCTGTTGGAGCGGGTCCAGAGGAGGTCACAAAGATGATCCAAGGGCTGGAGCACCTCTGCTATGGAGACAGGCTGAGAGAGTCGGGGCTGTTCAGCCTGGAGAAGAGAAGGCTCCAGGGGGACCTTCTAGCAGCCTTCCAGTACCTAAAGGGGCTACAAGAAAGCTGGAGAGGGACTTTTGACAAGGGCGTGTAGTGACAAGACAAGGGACAATGGCTTTAAATTGAATGAGGGGAGATTTAGGTTAGATCTAAGGAAGAAATTTTTTACAGTGAGGGTGGTGAGGCACTGGAACAGGTTGTCCAGAGAAGCTGTGGCTGCCCCATCCCTGGAAGTGTTCAAGGCCAGGTTGGATGAGGCTTTGAGCAACCTGGTGTAGTGGAAGGTGTCCCTGCCCATGGCAGGGGAGTTGGAACTGGATGATCTTTGAGGTCCCTTCCAACCCAAACCATTCTGTGATTTTATGACATGCTGGGCGAGCGCTGCATGGCCTCTGCGGGGCTTTGTGATCGCTCCTGCAGAACAACGAGGAGGCTTGTGCCAGTCCTGCAAGCCAGCAGCAAGGAGGGAAAGCCCATGAGTTTGCTGCAGACCAAAACTGGGATTGGCTTTGCTTGTAAGTCCTCTCGCATGTGGGAGAGAAGTGCCACTGGTCACTCACCCTACCTATGGTAGGAGGTGGCCCAGATGACCCTTTCTGCAGTAGACTTCCAGGCTCTCACTGTGAGGATTAGCCCTACTCCTGCCCCTTTGCTGCCATCAGACCCCACAGCTGGTCGCCAGCTGATCTGACAGAAGAGTAACTTACCAAAAATGATAATTAATAATTTTCCAAGCAGCCATGCCATGGACACTCCACTGCTAAGTCTTGCATGGCGGAGCAGGCAGGATGAGCCAGTTGCAGTTAGATTTGGTTCAGTTTACTATGAAATCAGATCCTCAGGAGAAGTTAGAGTTGGGTTTTGGAGTTCCTTTCTTTCTTTGTTGCTTGCAGAAGAGGAGGTGACTAGTTTAGAGTTGGGGCTACACTTCTGGAAGACTGACCTTGGTGTGCTTCTGAGCTTTGGAGTTGCATCTGTGTTATCTGTGCTCCACATAACCGCACCACCTCCTCGCCCGCAGAGGAGAACAGCCAATTTCACAGCAACTCATGACATCCCAGTGTTATCAGTGCAGCACACAGGGACTGAACTCAGGTAGTTATTGTGTGTGAAGCACTTTTATACATGACAGCATTGGGTTTAGGTCCATTTTTCTCTGCGTTGTGCAATATGTTGTGTTACTTGCAGCGTATTCGCAACCTGACATCCATGATGGAAGAGCTTGAGGTATATTCAGAGCTATCAATAAACAGGTAAAAATCTCAGAGCTTGGACATGAAGCAGCTGGAAGAGCCAGGGAACTGGGAGCAGGCAGCGAGCTGGGACCTGGGGCAGTTGCTGAGAAGGCAGCAGGACAGCAGGAGGGCAGCTCTGTGCTCCCAGCCCTTTTCCCCAGGTATCACTCAAGCGTGTAGTGTCTGTGCTCGGTGGTGGCATTAAAAAGCCACAAACCCCAGCTTGGGTTGCCAGCCTTCTCCCCGAAAGGGATGTCATTTGAAGGGCCGTCCTCACGGATCAGATTTGCATTCTGGTGGCAGCCCCAGTGGAGCCAACCGGGTTGGCACTCGCATCTCCCGCATCCTGGTGGCAGGCTCTGCCCCGTCCCTGCTCAGGCCTCAGCCCTTTTGAGGAGTCTCCATGCATCATCCACCAGCTCCAGCTCTCCTGAGGCTCCACACCAAGCTCCCCTCCGCGCTCCATGCCACCTCCCCAGCCCTCTCCATAGGCAGCCCGGCTTTGCTGACGCCGCGATGGGAAACTCTGATCCACTGGTTCGATTTGTAACCTGTTTTCATCCTTATCTCTTTTCCTAATCACACACCCCCCCGTAGGATATCACGAGTGTAAGTATGCTGCTCGCTTGGGCTTTTACCCTCACCTCCCAGTGACTCGATTGTCTGATTTAAACGGAGCACTAAGCGATCTAAGTGCAAGCTGGCTTTGAAACCCTTCCCGCCGGTAACTTTATCGTCTCAAATGCACTAATTAGAGCTAAAAGAGGAGCTTTTACTCCGTTGCTTTTTTTTCCTTATAGATTAATTTAAACAAAGCCTGGCTCTACTGAAGGTGGTGTTTGTTGACAGGGGTGGGGACGGCGCTGAGCTCTCTCTTTCCCTCCCTCTTCCTTTTAATTCTTGTGCTAACAGGGACCACGTTATGAAACTGGGCTCGGTTGTCCCAGGGCTCTGCAGGCACATCCTTAAAGAGATAAAAGTGTCAGTCCTCCAAAGAGCTGCATAGCTGCTCCAAAGCATTGCCTCCCTCTTGCGAAGCTGATGTTCTTGGTGTTTGGATGCACCACTTGATCAGGGTCCAGGCAGTTCCTATAGACAAATGCTGGGGAAGAGCCAGGACGATGTTCGGCTTTGCCATCACCTTTGACATTGACCACATTGGTGTTGGCTCAGTGTCTGTCTGCAGGGCTCCCATGGTGGGACCGGAGCTGGCGTGGTCTCCTCAAGCAAATCTGTGAGCTCAGCCTCTCCCAGGGGTGCAGCCACTTCCACCACTGCCTGGCCCCTGGCACAGCACTACCCAAACGCTGCAGGATTTTGTGTCCTGTAGGCAACTTAATTCATTAATAATCCTTAATAGCATAGTGCCTCTACCTTCACATGGTGTCTGGAGATACCAGCAGCTCCCATCCCTCTCAGACACTTGTCCCCAGTTTAACAGATCCCCTACGTGGATTTGTTGTGGGATCAGTGCTCCGACTGCTTTTGCATCCCGATCCGATCACTTTATCCATGCAACTCCTTTGTAATCGTTCCAACACATGCAAAGGTTTTCTTGCATACAGCATGCATTACTTCGAAACCATTTTGTGGACCTGAACAGGTCGCACGGGATCGGAGATGGCTCCCAGGATGGGCTCTTAGGGCAGAGGATGCTCTGCCGTATGTTCCCCACGTGTTCCTGGGGAAACTGCAGCAGACAGAGATGGAGAGTGATGGGAACAGTGCTGGTGGACGTTTCTGAAGGTACAGGTTTACTTTCAGCACTTCTGATGGCCCCATGTAGCTTGTGAAATAGGATCAGAGCTCTCAGCCCTCCTGGTAAAGTGCTCTGAGTGCCGCTGGAGCCGTCCGGCAGTGCCGGAGGAGCGGGTGTCATGCAGGAGGACAGTTATTTCCAAAATTCTTGGTGCTGTGACACCTCCCAACTCGAAAAGCCTGCTTCCCCTCTGGGCCATCACTCCCTGGTTCTTGTGGTGGAGCAGCTGGAACCTGCTTTCGTTACAAAAAATAGAGAAAGAAGAAAACTCATCGTTATTTTGCTGGATAAAAGCACTCCAGGTGTCTTGTATACTGTTGAGAAAGCAGCTTGATTGTAGTCCCGTGTCTTTGGGCACTTACAACTTTAGCAAATTAGCCTTTGGGGTAAAGTCGTTCTCCTTGTTTCCAGCTCCACGCTGGATGTTTTTGGGAACGTTTCAGATTCCCTTTGGCTCTTTTTAGGAAGACTGAAGCATGAAAAACCTTTAGATTTTTTTAAATTATTATTTGATAGGTTAAATAAGTTTCAAGAGGTTTGATTTGTGCTCAGTTGACTCAAAAACCTCCTGGTTTGACAACACGACAACTTCCCCGGGACTATCAGAGCTGTGTCCCAGTCACTTTAATGCTTCATTTAGATCTCCAAAGCCAAAAAGATAGACTTAGGTGACTTGCCCAAAGCCATCTGCCTCTGCCAGATCTGATTTACTGAGAAAATTGTTCACAAATTGTGTTATTACAAAAAAGCAGTGCCGTCTGAGAACCAGCCAGTTGGATGTTGGGAGCCTGATACCTTCAGAAGCTGTTGAAGGGTTGACCCTTGGCAGGTGGTTTCCCTTCCCAGCACATGCCCAGCTCATGCTTGGAGTGTGCAACGAGACCTGACCCCCACCCCCTTCCCTACCTCCCCAAAATACACATCCACAACCGCAGGCGTGCATGACCCCCGGCTTTGCATGACACAGAGAGACAGAGCTCCTCAGCCCCTGTCCCACCACCCGCCGATGGCTTTTTGGAGACCTCGTGGAGGCCAGCATGCTACTTCATGTGTTCAATGTCATTTTAAAGAAATACGAATCTCAAGAAGATTTTTAAATTGAGGAAACCAATTTAAAGGGCTGGATTCCTTCCTTTAACACAAATTATGTTGTATCATATTTTAAGTTCACAACTCCGAAGCTTTCCGGCTGCCGCAAAAGCTGCATCTCTTGGCCGCATGCAATGCACCATTTCAAATAAGAAGTCTTAATGCTGTGGATTTGATGCTAATTTTTTTAATTTCCTCCTAATGTTACGGTGTTGTCATTCACCGCTTCATGGGATGACCTGGGGCCGTAGCAAGAGCTGTTTGGAAGGGGAGGATGAGAGGCTTTAGGGTTTCATGCATTTTGGTGGTAGAGATAGACCCTATGGAGACATTGATTGGGATTTGTGGGGTTTAAAGCAAAAATGCAGAGTGTGTAAAGCCTATACATGGCTTGGTATGCCTGTCTTTACACAAATACATGATAAAAATTGGGGTAGAGCCTTTAGATGCAGTCACCTCCTCTGTCAGAGCCTGAACACGGGCAGTTTACGTGCAGTTCCTTCGTGGGGCTTGGTTGCCACGTTGAGCAGCGATACCTGTGCCATAACCTGTTTCTGCTCTGCGCAGGATGAGAGACACGAGCAGAAAAAACAACGTTTTTGCCCAGTTTCGG